CAACAAATGAGATCCTGATCAGTTTAACTTCACTCGGTCATAAGCATGTTACTAGAAAGTTACCATAGTCTTTAAAACTTCATTCTGCCAGGATTTCATGGTCAGTGATGAAAGTTACCCCTATAAAAACCAAAAAGCATAGAAGCAAAAGACAATGAATACGTTAAAATTCATACTAAGGAGACGAGTAACGAAGAAGAACTGTGAAACAACGAACTGCGTTAATAAACTTAAAATGGGGGTAGAAACCTGATTCATATCTCTGAGCATTCCCCAGACTCTCTTCAATGTAATAACGGGTGGGACTTGATCTTGACCAATCTCGTGATAAAACAAGAGAGTCCAGGACTTTTGGAGTCAAAGAACAATGAAACTGATCAAGCACACATCTCGGCTCGCCGAAAGCTGCACCAAAAGCAACCGTAGATACTGGAATAGCCAAAATATCTCTTGCCATGGAGGAAAGAACACTAAATGATTTCCCATTATTATTCCACCAAGACAAGATGTCAAAACCATCTTCATAAGATGAGAGTTGCTCCTTAAGATACCGATCCAACTCGGTTTTGGACGCATCGATTTTCTTTGACTCTCACGGATCATGTAATTATAATCACGAGCAATCTTCGCGGAGTTAGAAGTTTGAGAAGATCGAGTTTTCTCTAATGACAATTGATACATATCATAATAATACTAAAAAATTCGCCCTACTTCAACCTTCAAATTTGCTAACAACTCATCAACCTTTTCAGTTTCACTACCATAAATTCGTCCGTAGCACCACTTGAACAATTCCAACTTCAATTGAGGATTAAGCACCACTGCGATCAACATCAACGAGTTCATTTGATCAATGTCCCCATAGTACTTGGCAAACATTTGTATCATTTTCTTCAACATAGATCTGTGGCATAAATCTGCATAATCTGTCCACTCATACAAAGTCCGAAGTATCGCAGCGACTTCAGAGAAATACAAGTTAGAAGTGACATTCGAGATACTCGACAACTTTTTTATAGCCATGTAAACCATGCAAGAATTTAGCAGACACATGGGCATTTTGCCAATCATCACTTGTAGGTGTTTCATGATGAAGCTTTTCCCTAAATGAGGGATCCTCATTTTCCAATCTTTCAAAAGCTTTCCTGAGCATGACCGCCCTCTCCAACATTAGGTAGGTGGAGTCCCACCTGGTAGAAGTATCAAGACCAATGGAACGCTTAGAGGCTATCTTTTCTTTCTCAGCACAAGATTGAAATAGCTGAGCTCTAGCCGGAGAACTCTTCACATACCTAACTGCACACCTAATCCGACTAATAGAATCACGAATCTCATTCAACCCATCATTCACAATCAGATTCAAAATTGGAGTCACATCCCTCAGATGAAAAGATCCCCCATTCAGGCCAAATAACTTATCACACCTGTACTTATCTTTCAAATAGTCAACGTTTGTTTCATTTGAACTAGCACCATCCACTGTTACCGTGGATATTCTTTCCTCCAAACCCCATTCCTGAATACATTTCTCTACTAAGTCGCCGATGTGTCCACCATTATGACTAGGCAACGAAATGAAATCCAACATTCTTTTGTGCAGCTTCCAGTCCTTGTCTATAAAGTGCGCACTGATGCATAAATACCTTGAATTTTGCACGGAACTGCATGTAACAAGACTCAGGGCGACTCTAGATTGCAAGGTTCCTAACAAAGTTTGCAACTTAAACTTCTCGATCAGATAAAGTTTCATGCAATCCCTGGCGATAGTAAAGCGGGGAACATGCTCCAATCGAGGTTGCACTGCGCAAACAAAATCTCTAAAGCCTTGACTGTCTGCCAGAGAGAATGGTAGCCCTTCACTTACGATCATCCTCGTGAGCATTCCTCTACAATGCGCTTGATCAAATCTCCAACTAGTAAGATTACCGGCATCGCTATCACAACCCCCGTTCCCCTGGTACTCGGGGCATTCATTCAAATGTCTACACATCGAGAAAGCACCCCGATCCGCGTTGTGAAAGAACACTTTTTCGCAATGAATGCACTCTACCTTTTCGATCATCCCCGCATTCGCATGCCCCGATCGAACGGAATGATCCCTCATAGTAAAATTCTCATCTGATGCGCGAGACCTCGTCGTTGCGGCTCCGATCGTGGACTCGCTAGCCGGGCTCCAGTCGCCCACATCGTGGGTCTTACCCATGTCCGACCCACATCTGCACCCCATGTCCTGCAACATTCAGCAGCCATCCCCACAATCAACAAAATTCCCTACACACAAGATTCAACAGATGAAGAGAAGGAATCGAAACCCCTCGAAAGTCATCCATCCAAACGCTTGCACAAAGTGAAGATGGGAACAAAGGTCGCAGCTTTTGGCCAAGGAAAACCTCAAACGACAGAAACAAGAAAAGGGTTGCAGGGCTAAGACATGGTAATCCATATTTCGTTACAGCAATCGAGTGCCGAATGTTAAGGGCGTCAGCCACTCTTCACCGAGCAGGAGCAAGAAGACGCAGAGAGAGAGAGAGAGACCAAAAATGGCGCCAAGCGGGAGTTGTCTCTCTCTTTCCCGCTTAATTCTCCATTTGCGTTTTGGCCCTCCTACTTTTCTGCGTTTTCCAATTTTGGCCCAACCGTAATTTCGTCTTGACGATGATATATGATTTATTAAGACAATTTATTAAGTACTTTGACTAACATTATTGGTCAACGTTTCAAGGAGATCATCGAGTCAGCACTACTGACAATTTAATACTCGATTGACGCTAATGCTCGCAAGTAAATCAAAAATCAGTCCCCATATTTTTAAGGGCATCTTACTTTTAGTCCTTGGACTTTTGCTCAATGACATTTTTAGTCCACATTTGACGATTCGAATTCTTGATGCTGAGCCAACCGAACATCGACCTCCAACGTCGCTACATATTATTAGTGGACCAAATAACAATTAACTTTCTATTTGTTTCACAGAAAATGAATGATTTGAAAAATATTTTCCTAAAAGTAATAATTTGCATCGCTTCAAAGAATTAATCGATGAAAAAAATATTCATTATCGACAATAATTTATGTTTAAATATTTTCGTGAACGATGTGGATATTTTTGTAAGCTACATAAGCGATCATATTTTAGAAGTTTTTTTTTCAAATTCTTCATTTTTCGCGAAACAAATGCACCCTAAATTTTTCACCTTTTCTCATCTACGAAATAAATCCTCACTTGTTAAAAATCGTGTCAAATATATCCCAAGAGTAATCTCCCTCCAAAAATTGTCTTTTAATAACCTTTGTAGAATTGCTGTTAATTCTATTTTTCAAAAGCACACAATCCTTTCATTCGTTCTTCTTACAAGATGATATTAGAAATATACTTGAAAATTGAAAATTCTTAAAAAGGTCGTGATTTGTTTTTTCATCCGGCCTTATTTTACGTGTAACTTACAAATACCTTTCGCATTTGTTAATCTTCCATGTACCAAAATGAACAATCTACGAAAATGTATCTAGCATGAGATCCTAATCAATCCCGACTTACATCGGTCTTTCGAAAAGTTTACACGAGTATGTTTACTAGAAAAGTTGCCGCTTCTTTTCAACTTCCCCCTACTGGGATTTCTTCTTCGGTGAGGTGAACAATCTCTGCCACTTATCACTTATTGTATTGGCCTCTTGGCCTTTTTTGAGAGTTTAGAATTAGTCCTCTGCCCCCGTGACTCAAACAGACTAGCAGATTGGATTGTAAAGGCGTCAAGGTGTAAGTCCCTTCTAACCCCCTTCTCCTCTTTGGGAAATCCTGTGTTTTGATGCCTCTTATTCTTGTAAGTGGACTCAGGTTTAATGAAATGATATCTCTATTTTGACCCAAAAAAAGAAAAAAAAAAAGCTCTGCAAGAATTGGCAAGCAAAGAAGACCCAATATAATCAATTCGTTGAACCATATACTTAGTATGCATGAGAACGCACAAGAGTTTCTCAGCATTCTCAAAGCTCTCTTCCACACAAGCTGGGACCGTACTGGATCTCAACCAATCTTGTGCGCAAATGAGAGAGCCCGCAACCTCGGAAATGAGAAACTACGAAATTGATCAAGGAAACGTCCTGGCGTGCTGAAAGCTGCACCGGAAGCAAGTGTGGATGCTGGAATTGCCTGCCGAGATATCTCTCGCCATGCGGGAGAGTACCTTATATCTCCGATTCATTGTTCTTCCCCCATGTCAAGATGTCAAACTCATCTTCATAATCTTTTCACATCGCTGCACAAGATACAGATCTAACTCGGTTTTAACCTCCCTTTTATGCCTCTCTCTCATAAACAAATGAAATTGGTGAAACAGATGCATCAGGCTGAGAAGTTTGCGTTTGCAACACATCATGACAAAACTCATAAAGCCAACTCAACTCAAACCTTCAAATTTGTTAACATCCAGTCAACTTTTCCAGTTTGATTTCCATGAACGCCTTCCCAGCAGAACTTCGAAAACTTCAACTTGAATTGAGGATCTAGTGCTACTGCTGTGAACATCATCGAGTTTTGTTTTCCCATGCTCCCACAGTACCTGTCAAACATCTCCTTCATTTTCGTAGACATTGAACTCCACACATCAGTGCTGAGGGCAACTATAGATTTCAAGGTTCACATCAAAGATTCCAACTTTACCTTCTTAATCAAATCAAGTTTCATGCAATCCCCAGCGACAGTAAAGCATGAACTCAGCCCCGAACGCACGTTGCAGCGCGCGCTCACAAAGTCTCCAAAGCCTTTACTTTTCCCCCCCAAAGAACAAGAACAGAGCTCATCTCTTCAAGCTTTGGGGGTTAGGGCAATGGCAGAGACTAAAGAAATCTAAAGTGCAAGGAAATCTAACAATGCGATGACAACACAATTAGCGGAACAAAATGCATGCTCGCGCAACTTGTTTAGGTCGCTTCAGGTCCTCTATGTTCATCGCCAATCTTCCTTTCTAATTTCAACAAATGATATCACGACAATAAAGAAATTGCGCGCGTAAGAACAGAGATCTACATAAATTGGAGAATGGTGTGGTGCTACAAGAATTGTCGTCCTGGGAACTTTCGGAATGTTACAGATTTCCATTCCAACATGAGTTTCAGAATCATCAAATTTTGCGGTCGCTCAAAGCCGAACAGAATATACGAATCAATAGTAGCAATCTAGCAAAAGAAAATGAAAGAATCTCAGCCTTTCAAGTAATTGGAGAGCTTCACATGGGCCGTGGGATCTCTCTTCTTCTTCTTGAAATGCTTGGATGCTGCCTTCAGCACCTTATCCCAACCCTGAAAAATCCAAAACCCAACGAACCCTAAAATTTGGAAATTCTGAAATACAAATTCGATAAATTGCACGAAGAAATTACATGATTCACACTTAGATTACCATAATCAAGCATAAATAATCACAAAACCATAGTAACAAATCATTAAATAGAATGAATTTCTGAAAAAAAAATTGACAAGAACAGAGAGAATCGGATAGTGTAGTACCCTTTTGGCGAAGGGCGCACAGGCGACGTTCATCGGAGTCGGCGACGAACCAGAGACCTTTGCCGACTTCTTCTTCGTCCTCATCATCTTCTTCTTGCTGCTCATCGAGAGATTAACCTTCTTCTTCTTCCTCGCCGCCGCCGCCGTCTTCTCTCCACCGAACCCCCCGAAGCAGAGCTTCCTCGGGGTGGCGAAGCAGCCGGAGTCGACCGGGAAGTGGGAGCGGGGGAGGAGTGGGGACCAGATCGAGCTCTGCGAGTAGTCGAAGCCCGTGGACGAGCTGTCCGGGAACTTGTGGAGGAGGTCCCGCGACATCACCGGCTCCAGATACTCCACCACCTTGCAGGTGTCAGGCAAGAGGCCGAGGGTTTCTTCGTCGTCGGTGGTGTCGCCTCCGTTCATGGCGTCCTTCCTCTGCTGCTGCGAATTTGTGGATCGTTTTTGCCGTTGAGCGATCGGTGCCTTTGCTCTGGTTTTGTAGAGAGAGAGAGACAGAGAGAGTGGGAAAAGTTACCGTTAGATTTGGGAGGGGAGGTACAAGTCAAGGGGGCCGCAACACAACACGCACGTGACCGTTAATCCCCAGATTTTATTTGTCTTTCTTTTTTTAAAGGGAAAATACCACAAAAAAACCCCAAATTATGTCATTTGTGATAAATTTACCCTTGACTCTTTTTTTTGTGACACGAAAAACTCCAAATTATGCCACTTGTGACATATTTACCTCACAATACTTTGGCCTATGGGCATTTTCGCCTTTTTCCTTTTTCTGTTTTTTTTTTCTTTTCTTCTCTCTCTTCCCTCCGTCGGCCATGGCGTAGGGAAGCCGGCGCCGACGTCGGGTGAGGGCCGCCCTAGCCTGGGCGGGCGAGGGCAGCCTCGTCCGACGCTGGTGAGGGTCGCCCTCGCCAGATCCGACATCGGGCGACTTCGCTCGACTCAGGCAAGGGCAGCCCTCGCCGGATCTAGCATCAGGTGACCCTCGCCGGATCCAGCGAAGGCAGCCCTCGCCGGCTTCCCTTTACCATGGCCGGCGGAGGGAAGAGAGAGAAAAAAAAACAAAAAAAAAACAAAAAAAGGAAAAAGATGAAAATGCCCATATGCCAAAATATTGTGGGGTAAATGCGTTACAAGTGACATAGTTTGAGATTTTTCGTGTCACAAAAAAAAGTTCAGGGTAGATTTGTCACAAGTGACATAGTTTTTCGTGTCACAAAAAAAAGTTCAAGGTAAATTTGTCACAAGTGGCATAGTTTGGAGTTTTTCATGTTACAAAAAAAAGTTCAGGGTAAATTTATCATAAGTGACATAATTTAGGATTTTTGGTGTAACATCCTGAATTTCGACCAATTTTCGGAATCAATAAAGTGTAAATTATTTCTCATTTAATTTTAGAAAGTCTCGCCCGGACCTGATCAATCACGGGATACTAACCTATTGGGAAAGACTAAATAGGAATATGTACGTGGACCGGGGACTCGATCGCGAGTTAGGCACGGACTTCGAGGAACGCCGAGGGAATATTTTGGACCAATGTGAGCCGATCTTAGGAAGGTGACGGATTCGATTCGACCAATGATGTACGATCGGATCGCGGGTGATTCCGCATGACCGAGAGTACACATGGCGAACGATTCCCGAACTAACCTAAATGACCGAGACCTCCGGTACTAGTGATAATTCCTCGCGCTCTCTCGAAAATCGAGGCCATTACGATTCGGACAACCCTAGGTCGATACGCGTAACACCTAAACAGCCACCCGTTAGTGAGAGGCTCTAGAATTTTAAAATGAGCAAATTTAATCGCGAGATTGGACCCGAACTTCGACGTCGAAATTTTGTGGACGTTTACGATTATTTTGCAGGACCAACGTCGTTTTGGTGTGGCCATGCACATTTGGGGCTAATCTAGCCAGAAATTGGAATTTCGACAAAAATTGGGGAAAATTACGGTTTTGCCCCTGTGGGCCCCGAGGTTGGATTTTGAGCCCGTTTGAGGTTATTTTTCAAAACCGAAGTCATTTTGGGGTGGCCATGCACATTTAGAGTGGTTTCGGTGAAAAACTGAAATTTTGGCTCGGGAGCGAAAAATAATATTATTTTATTCCCGGAACTTCGCAGTCGATTTTCGAGGGCTTAAAAAGTGAATTTCGCGAATCCGACGCCATATTATGTTGGCCACACACATATGGAACGCGTATGTGCGAAAATTGGAATTTCGCCCCGGGACCGGAAAAATGACGATTTTGCCCCTGGGCCGGTATTAATTCCGAATTTTTTTTGGGAAAAATTTTAGGAAAATTGTCAAGGGTTATGAGCTGCATGATTGGACCAAAAGACCACTTTGTCCCTCATTTTTGGATAGGATTGAATTAAAACCGTTGGATTAGGGGTATTTTGGTCATTTTTCGCGGATCGGCGACACGTGGCACTTTGGGCTGCTTTATTTGACCAGCTGACCATCTTTTCTCTCTCTCCTCCCCTCATTCTCGGCAGAACCAGCCCCCAACAGCAACTTCCCTCCCATTTTTCCTCTCTTTTTCTCCATTTTCCCTCTTGGTTTTGTCTCGCCGGAGCTCACCGCCAGCCACCGGAGCGCCGCCGCCGACCGCCGTGCCCCGCCGTCGACCACCACAACCCCCCAGCCCGAGCCTCGCCTCTGTCCAGCCCTTTCTCTCTCCCTTTCCCTCTCTTTTTCTCTCTTTTCTCTCCCGGTAAAGCACCGCCGCCGCGTCCGAGCCTCGCCGGAGCTTCGCCGGAGCTCCGATCGCCGTTCCGTCGCCACCCAGCCGTCCAGCTAGTCGGTACGTCGCCGTTCTTCGCCGGCCATACGGTGTCCGTACGGTCAGTACTGTAGCAATCCGTACGGCCGCCGCAGCCGTCGCCGCCGTCTCGCCGGCACCGTTCCTACCCCCGTCCGTACAGTCCATACATCCTGTGAACAGTACCGCCGTGAACAGTGCGCATCGCCGGGAATTCCGCCGCCGGTTTCACTATTCATGAAATGCTAGTTATCAGCTGCATGATCGGCCGCCGTTCCCCGTCGCCGTGGTCCAGAAATTAAGTGAGTAAAATTTCTAAACCCGGATTAGGACTAATAGTGCATTTTTCTGGACTGGATTAGGAATGCTAGTACTGGCAGAGGAAAATTAGTGTACTGATTTATAGAAATTATTATCGGGAAAAATGTAGTGGGCCAATGAGAATTTATTGGGGAGAGTAATTGGATTGATTGGTCAAATTAGGTGCCCATTGGTGAAATTACCGGGTATATCCGGGTTGACTGATTGTGTATAATTCGTGCTTAATTGTGATTGATTGCGTATTGCCATGTCGCATGTGGTGTGGCTGATTTTTGTGGAGTGCGATTGGCCACTGTTTGGCTTGCAATTAATTATTGAATTGTGAATCGCACGTTGGGCCACACGGTATTAATTGGGCCAATTGAGCACGTGTTGTGTTATTGAGTGTATGAATTTCCTTGGTGCTCGTGGTGCATTGCATTGCATTGCATAACATGGACACGCATTGCATATGCCAAGAGTGAGGCATGTGATGAAATTGTGCGAGAATGCGTGTCTACCATGGGCATGTGATCACCTAAAATACTCTGAAGCGTTATACGCTGGGTTCAGATAATAATGAGTTGTGTGATCACCTAAGGACCTTCGGGTCGATACCGTCCTCATGCACTTTGAAGCAGGACGATACCCGGTACGTCCGGAAGGCGACCATCCTTATGCACTTTGAAGCAGGCTTTGGTTCGCAAGGAGAATAGTGTTGCGCCTCATGCACTTTGAAGCAGGCTAGAGACACTGGGCCAGATCGGTTGCTGTGCCTCATGCACTTTGAAGCAGGCTAGACGCACCGGGCCGTGAAAAATTGATGACTCGAGTCGTAATAATAATTAATTGGGCAAGTGTGCCAGTGTGGGCCAGTGGGCCAAAGAAATGTACATGACATGTCGATGACATTTGCATGCATAAACATGCATTGATTAGCATGCGAGTGTGTGAGACTCGGTGTATGAGCATATGATTAGCGTACGTGTGATAATGTGTGCCACGTATGTCCCGTGATTATTACATATTGAATTGTCTAACCTGCAGGGTCAGAGAAGTGTATGATTAGGGTTGTGTTATGATTTTAAATATTTGTTTCCGGTCAGGAGATTGCATGCTAGCCTAGCCTAGGTTTAGGGATTGAACTCACTGAGATTCGTCTCACGGTTGTGTAAACCGAAACTTTTCAGACCCCCAGCCGTAGGATGCCGAGGAGAGCGCCTCTTTTTGGTATACCGCAGTTCATCCAGCAGTCATCTAGTGTGCACCCTTGTAGGGACGGACCTGCAGCCATGGTCGAGGAAGCTGAGGAGCCGAAGTGTTTTACACTGACCCCTTTTGACTGAGTGGCTGCTGACTATGTGTTTCCTCTGCTGTTGTATAAATGAACTGTGTAAAAAGTTTTCTTTGGTAATACTAGTATACATACTTTCAGAGGTGTTGTTTGCTGGTTGTTCTACCTTGGCCTCATGTATTTTATTGTCAGGGTGCATATATATATTTATATACGTACTTCCGCTTGTGCTTGATCTCTGTTTGGGATTTGGGTCGGCGACGCTTCCTGGGAGCGTTGCACCTTAATCGACCGTGACGGGATGTTGCGCTTCGTGGGGTACGGAGCGTGACATTTGGTGGTATTTTCCTTTTTTTTAAATAATAAAAATAAAAGGGTTGATTTCTTTTTAAAATAAAATTATAATTCTACCAAGAAAAAGTAAATAACTTTATAAAACTATGGGCAAATACCACAAAAAAAAAACCCCAAAGTATAACCTACTGTGACACAAATACTTCAAAAAAAAATTTCTCAAGAAAAATCCTAAACATGTCCACTTTGACTCAAATACCCCCAACTTTTTTTTAATCACAAAAAAGCCCAAACTTATACATGTGTGATATATTTATGGTATATTTGTCACATTGTTAAACCAAAAAAAAAAATTTGAGCTATTGTGTCACAATGGGCAAATTTAATTAGGGCTTTTAGTGGCACAAAAAAAAAGAAGAAGTTCGGGGTATTTATGTCACAGTGAGTATAGTTTAGGATTTTTTATGGTATTGATCCTTAAACTATTGGCCTGAAGTACAATTAGATCCAAACAATTTAAAAAGTGCAATTAAATCCTAAATATTCTAAATCCGGTGCAATTTCATCTCTTTACCTTGGATTTCTATCGTGCCGCGTTAGCAAAAATGGTTGACATACGGTTGAGAGGATGGAATTGCACCAGATTCAAGACAATCAAGAATTGGTCGTGTTTTTTACGAATCTTTTGGGATTTGATTGTGCTTTGGGCCTGACATTTAGGAATTTTGGTCTATTTTCTCCTTTATTCATGGATATTTATGGGGAGTGCTCGTTACAAGTCAGTAGACCTATCAAACGGGTGGATCGGTTTGGGTTTGGGTCAGGTCGAAAAATGATCCGACTCAAATAGACCCATTTAACCTGTTTTGACTCATTTTCATGTAATGAAAATCTAATGATCCATACCCGACCCAATCCATACCCAACCCATACCCGACCCAATCCATATTGCTAAAATACTTCCATATCTAACTCAATTTAGGAAAACTCGAACCCAAACTGAGATGAGGGTGCTGAGTGAGTGAGGGCGATATTGAGTGAGGGCGAGAGAGACGAATTCAGTTTAAATAAGTTGTAAATCCATTCACGACCTATTTAACACTTATATTATATTTGTACCCATTTATGACACATTTAGTGAATGTAACTAACTCAGTTATGATTCATTTATTGATATATGGGTTAAGAAATGAGTTTATGACCTATTTTGACAGGTCTACAAGTTAGCAATCGACTTCTTAGGTCATTTCATAGGTGTCTCGTCTCATATTTATTGCAAAAAATTTAATTATAACATTAATTACTCAGTCACCACAGTCTTGCTGATGTGCCAAGAATCGAGAATTTCTTCATATGAGGTAACAATTGCCCAATATACAAGCCAGCGGAGAGTCGCTAACGATGTTACCCGAACTTGTGATCTCGTGAAAGACAGATGACCCTTGTGCCACTAAGCTCTTGCAATTGGTCATAAATTGTGGTTTCAACTATTTCCAACATTCCAAATGAAAAAACTAACGGTTGACCATGGTCCCATGGTTCGACAATATCAAATGCCCAACATACATGCCAGCCGAGATTCGCTAACGATATGATCTGAACTTGTGAACTCGTAAAAGACAGACGATCCTTGGGCCACTAAGCTCTTGCACTCTGTCGTAAATTGTGGTTTCAACTATTTCCAACATTCCAGATGAAAAATTGACGGTTAAACATGGTCCCATGGTTCGACAATATCAATAAAAAGGTTTAGAAGAAAAAAGAGTGCCGAAAGTACAAAATGATATATATCTAATGTAATTTAATTCCAAATATTTCAATCAATCATTCATGAAAAAGTGAAATTAAACGTTTCATATGCGGCAACCCTTTAAATTGTCAAAACAAACAATTTCCAACGAGACATACCCGGTTTTCGGTTCTAATGATCGAAGGTACTTGACTACACCTTCGAAAAAAGTTTAGGACGTATTGCACCTATGGTTGTGATGGAGTGAACATATGCGTTCGGTATCTCACGTTGTACTTGATTGTCTGAACTCCACATTGGTAAATGACCAAATATAGGTGAACCCGATGGAGAATTTGGTGTGCATGCCATGGAACCAAATTACAAATAAGATGTAATGAAGACGATTGATTTTGAGGACAACAAAACATATCTGAGTCTTCATAGGATTGATCTTGAGGACAAACATGGGAGTTGAATATTTGAAATCATTAAGAAATTGGGAACCGGATTTGTAGCATAAGAAATATATCTTCTTTCGGAAAAATTACTTAAAAAGTCATAAACTTATTACATTTTTACCAATTCAATTATAAACATTTGCCAGTTGAGTTATAAATCTTTTCAAGTTTTGCCAAGTGAGTTCAACCGGCCAATATTGGCCGAAAATCGCCGACGTGGGCGCCAATCATCTTACGTGGCACGACCGACACTGGTGTGGACAATTTTTAATAATATTATTTATATATTTTAAAAATATTTTTTATTGATTTTTTCTTTTTCCTTTTCTTCTTTAGTTCCTTATATCTTTTCATTTTATGTACCTGACCAACGAGGGTTGCCGGAGCTCGCCGGCCACTGGGCGAGGGAAAAAATAAAAGCTAATCTAAAGATGCCATTATTGATAATATATTTCTCACAATATTTCTATTTGTGTAATACAATTTCCACAATGTTAATCGTTATAGATGGTTAAAAAAGATATCGAAAATGGGAGGGGTTTCTGAGAATATTCCCTAAAATCTGAGAAGGAACGAGGAAAGAAAAAGGAGATATAAAGACGGGCTTTTAACGAAATGAAGGTGAACTATTGTCGGCGTCTATGGATTCTCCACCTCCAAAGAGGCTTCGCTCTGAATCCGAAGACGGATCTGCAGACAAGGTAACGAGTTTTGCTGCATAAAGTTTCGTTTTTGAGCTTGGAACTAGTCGTAAGAAGATCCCACCCTCTCTCTCTCTCTCTTCCTAAGCCAACGACACATGTAAACGTCTCAGATTATCATTGAGGTTTTTCTAACCTTGTTTGTTTTTTCTTCTGGTGAAACTCAATCCAAAGGATCGGATCAGCTGTTTGCCCGAGGATGTTATAGGGTTTATATTATCTCTTTTGAGATCTAGAGAAGCACAAGCGACTTTCTTCTTTCCAGAAGATGGAGACATTTGTCTACTTGTCAGGTCACCAACCTTGATTTCAACTGGTCTGATTTACTTGACAAGATGAGAGAAAATCCCGAGTTGGCGGAAAAGGAGAGGGCGAGATATGTGGAATGGGTGGACAATGTCTTGCATTGTCAAAGTGGAATAACTCATATAAATCTCACATCGATCGGTGGATTGGTTTTGCATTGGCAAGACAAGTCAAAATTCTCCAAGTCGATTTCGAGCCCGCGAGTGTGAAGGATTTTAGGCATGATTGTGATCCTAGTCGCTTGCCATATATGTTAGGGCATGAGACACTTATGGATGCTGTTGTAGGGTGTTCACAACGAGCTTTGGGTATAAGTAATTTTGGCTTGAACCCTTCTAGTTCTTGGCATTGAACTTGGCATGTTGAATTTAGGCATAGCTCTACTTGAATCGAGTAACTGTGGAGGGAGAATTCATTGAGCAACTGCTTACCAATTGCCCGGTTCTAGAGCGATTGGTTTTGCAGAATACTCCTACTTTGAATAGGTTTAGAGTTTCTGGTCAATCACTGAAGCTGAAGTACTTGGACATAGCATGTTGTGACAATCTTGAATGTGTTGAGATTTATGACATGGACCTTGTGTCCTTCACTTTCGTGGGACGTCAAATTCCATTGTGTTTGGACAAGCTCCCCCAGCTGTCTGAGGTGTCTATTACAGGATTTTATTTGGTGCTTCTGCATGTGACATTGTCTCAACTTTCGAGTCTTTCTTGTCTGCAGATTCTCATACTTCAATTTTCTGATTCACCCGATGTAAGAGCACCAACTATTTTCATAAAGTTTCGTAAGTTATTTCCTTTTTACAATCTACGTTGTTGTCTTTGATTCTCTCTCTGTCTAATATGCAGGAAAACCTGCATATTCGTCAACTGCCTAAATTAACAAGTGTCAAGCTATTGAAGCTGAGAGTTGACGGAGAAGGATGTGTGAGTCTACTGCCATTGACTCCTGTGATCGAGGCATGTCCCTGCTTGCGGAGTTTTGTGTTTGAGGTGGGTTTTCGGGTCTCATTCAAGCCTTCAACTATTTAGGCATTATAATTATGTAGTAGGATAGAATATGATAAGCCAAGCGACTGTTTGATCCTATTCGACTCTCTGCTTATGGGTGAGTTGTTGGGACATCCTGTCATTAGTATTAGCTCCACGTGACAATCCACATGGACTTACTTTCTTTTGCAAGTTCTTTCTTCCACTGACATACTCCAATGTATCAATATCTTGTGGTGGTTAATAATACACGGCATTCTTCTTTTGTCAAGTTGACGTACCCGTGGGAGATGCTATGCACGCAAAGAGAACTAGAAAGAGTTGTTGGACCTCCCCATTGGTACCTAAAGGAGGCTGAATTTTTCAATTATTATGGTCAACCTTGTGATCTCGAACTAGTGAATTACCTTATTGACAATGCCATTGCTATGGAGAAGTTAGTGGTGAATCCCTGTGACGAAGAATATCTTAAGGACGAGATAAAAAAAGTTAAGGAACCTAGAGAACGTGCTCTGCAACAGTTTAAGGGAAAGTTACCTTCAAGAATCGAGCTGGTGATTAATTAACGAAACCAAATTCTCGTTCACTTGGCATCCGCAGTACTGTTATGGTTGGCTATCATTCTGCATCCTAATCCTCTTGCCCTGTTTAAACTTATTTTTTCAACTGCAGATATAAGTTTTTTTTTTATCAATAATTCGTTGTTCCAGATTTTTTAATTCGGATTTTTAAGTTATGTAATTGACACTTTCGCATTTTTACCCAATATGGGAAGCGGCAAGGCCGTGAAATAATGGATGTTTCTGGTTTCTGGTTTAACTTTCTCTTGTGTTTCCCCCTTTTCGTTGGTGATTAAAGTGGTAGTGAGGAAGAGAACGCATTTATCTAGTTATGGTCTAGTTAATCTAGTCAAAAGCAGATACTGTCGTGTGCCTAAATTATAGTGCACTTCACTTGGTACAAACATTCGCCTGGTCGCATAAGAATACAAATGCGTGGGGGTAAGTTACTGCCATATGTGCACGAAGTACATCGTGCAGGTGAGTTACTGCTGCATGTCATGCCAAATTACTTCAAATTTTCAGCCTTAGCACATTGAAATGGACATTAAGTACACATATAGATGGATCACTTTGGACATCAAATACAATAGCCGTGTAATACTTCTCTGGATCCAGAATGATACAGTACTTGCAATATTACTTACAACCCCAACATTAAAGTCAAAAGACATATTGATCTGGTTATTCTCAAAACATCGACCGATTTTGACCACCCTAAATGGCATGGGAATGTGATGATGAGTGCCGGGTCTAATAGGGTGGTTTGGGCCAATTTTAGCTACGTTTCTTACATACTCTCAGATTCTTCTGAGCTCGTCTCCTTTCTTTTTGGCAGCCAGGTGTGCTCTCCAAATGGTAGGGCACCGGTTGTGTTGGTGAATGACAATGGAAGACTTCACTTGCAAATATAGGATTGACACATTGAGTAGATACCAAGCACATAATATCACAACAACTTGCCCATATGAGCACACACAAATAGGATTCTAACAGTGGCTTCTTGGCTTATTCTCTCCTATCCTACCACCTCTGTCGAATGTCTACATAGATGAAGACTTAAAGAGGTCCGAAGACCCACTTCTAACACAAAAGTCCGCAAGTAAGGACATGCCTCGATCATCAAAGTTACCGGAAGTAGACTTAAATCTTTCCGTCCATCAACTTACAGCCGATTGCTCGACATGTGTTAAGTCATGCAATTGGCGATTACATAGTCCATTTCTTGCGACTAGGGTTAGGTTCTTCCATCTCGTACAATCAGTCCGAGGTGCTGAAACCAAGGTCCCTTAGCTGAGTAGTCCGCAAATACCTCCATCTCGGAATGAAACAGAAGTTGCTTGTGTTTCTCTAGATGTCAACCGGAATAAATACGACCTTGAAGAGACTGAGCAAGACGTGACAGAGAAAAAATTGGCGAAGTGTTGAAAGCTCGTAGTCAGCAAATTCGGTTAGTTGACAATAATACTGGTTTTAGCCGACAGAGGGTCCAGGTGACAATAACCAAGTTTCGGAGCAAAATGTCGACTCAATTGGCAAAAGACGAAGATAGAGTTATATGTTAAAAGGGAAATTCGATGCAACCATCAAATAGTGGAGCCGTAGATACAAAAAGTAACTGGTAGCGGTAAGTTTGAAGAAATAGAAGGGGCATAACCGTCGATTGGTGGAGTAAGTGGTTTTCAAGTAACTCACTCGCCGGCCGCGTAGTGAAGGCTGGCAAGGCAGTTTCGTCCAGATTTGGGCGAGGGCCGCGACCCTTGCGGGCCATTAAGGGAAACAAAAAATGAAAAGATGGAAGGAAAGAAAAGCAAATTGAAAAAAATTAATAAAAACTAATAAAAAAATTAGAAAAACTATTATTAAAAATTGTTCACGTCAGTTGGCCGCACCACACAAGACTGCCAATGTCCACGTCAGTGATTTCCGATCAAAATAAGCCAGATGGACTCAATTAGCAAAACTTGATAAGGTTTAGGACTTAATTGGCAAAATTGAAAGGTTTAGGATTGAATTGGCAAAAGTACAATAAGTTTAGAACTTTTGAAAAATTTTCCCATCTCCTTTCATAAGACAAAATTGATTGCAAAGCATAGATGGGCCAATTTAATTTGCGTAGCTATATGGAAGAAATGCCAATTCTCCAAATTCTGTAGCTTTTAAATCATAAATTTCCTTTTTTTTTTAATATTACGGAAACCACCTAATTGGAATTCGAATAATAGATAAACTAAGTATCAGTAACAATATTAAACAATAATTATAGTCACTTTTTTTTGTTAAAAATTATAGTCACTTTAATAGAACTAAATAAGATATTTTTAGATAAAGAATAAACACAAATTAAGTAAAAAGCGCAGGCCTCGATAACAGAAAATTGTCAAAGCACAAGGTTACTCACTATGTATATTTAAAGAGTTTATTAATGTAACAAATTTAAGATTAATAAAAATAAAAAATATTATAGAAGGAAAATTTTTCCTCAACTCATAAAAGGAAATGATTAACCAAAATTCAAGACGATATTTTTAGATATTAGTATTTTCATCAATTGACCATTTGGATACATTTGGAGTAACCAATTTTTATAATTTGAACTTTGTGTCATTGAGGCCTTTGTCCATTTTACTTAATTGTGTTTCTTTTCCTAAAATATATTATTAGCTCTATTTGTCTATTGATCAAAATTTATTCTATTTGTTAATATTTCCATTCATGCTCAATTTTCTGATATGAATGTTTTAGTTAATTTATTTTTCTACATTTTCTTTGTTTTTTTAATTTTTTTTTAGAAATCAAGGGTGAAATATTGATTTCCTAAAAATTACGGGAATAAAGTTAATTTTTACCCCCATTAAAGTCATGTACATTTTACATGTTGATGTAAAATATAACATAATGTTAATGGGGTAATATATAACACTTGAAAGTTTATTGACAAATGTGTACTATCATAACTCTGGGTGTTTTGTGTAATTTCCCTCTTTTTTTATATAGTGAGAAGGTTGGGGAGGGGCCACCAGTGCTAGTGATCCCCTCCGGATATTATTATAAGGGTTTTATACCCACTTACGGAATATTCGATTTGAGCCACAGTTACCCAGTACCACACGCAATCCGAAAGTTTGAGGTTGACAAACTCATCACTGTAGCTCCACCAAGATACTAGTGGCTAAAAAAATCTTTCTACACGAGGCATGTTGTTGTTAGGCAACGCAGTATGATCTATTCAAAAGTTCAATCACGATTTGAATCGAACTAATGACCTTGTGGCAGAACAATGAGCCCTTTACCACTAGGCCGATCACTTTTTTCTTCATATACCGATTAGGTGGTATCCAAGTCAGGTTTTTCAGAAGCTGAACTGGTCCAATATCTTCGACCAAAAAAAAACTTGTCCCATATCAACCTGATGTATTCTGGATACTTAATAAGACTTGAACTCGAGAAAAAGCAGAAGAGCAAACTTCTTGCCATCTAAGTTGATGCTTTTTTTATTAAAAAAAAAAATTAGGAGGAGAGAAGGTTACCACATGTCAAGCTAGGGTGTACAACAGGTCTAGAAAATCTTATAGTGAAATTACGTATCGCCTACCAAAGAGAACTGCTCGCAACTAGATTCGAACCTGGGTTTGATGTGCAGAGAGTTCAAATATTACTAGCTGAGCCGACTCACAAAGTCGATACTTTGTTTGTTAGGAATCACCTGGTTTTCAAAGAAACAAAGATGCACTAGAAGCTAAGTCTGCTGTTCAGTTTATCCCACGCAAATTGCAAACTCAAACTCAAGAGAGAAAGAGTGAAAATCAAGCAAAATATAAAAAAGTACATAGAAAGCCAGTTTCTTGTTTTTCTCGACCATCAAGCAAAGCACATATTCCACATAGGTACAAAGTACAAAGAGGAAAAGGTAACAAAAATAACCCGCACTAGAACAATCCTAAAATCACTCCCGTTTCGCACTGAGCTGATCTATCCCCAGATGTTATGTATGTGTCCCCGGAATTCACGTGGAAAAAGCAGCAGACAAAAAGAATGATGCTGCTCCTTCCATTTTAAAGTCCTGTATATATACATTTGCTTCATCGCAGATCTATGGAATCTATTCACACGAGAAACCAATTGACTCACAAATAGCAACTCAGTCCCGGCTTTGAGTACACTGCTGCAATTTCGCAAAATGGTGTTTGGAAATTTCCTGTCGAGCATTTTGGTCGCGTGCATCATCGCGACGGGTGGTTCCAACTTCATGCTATGCGGTAAGTATGTCCTTGCCCTCTCCTCCCGCTAATAGCGCTCATTCGACACTACTTTCGCCATAATATGACAAGTTATTCTCACGTATTGCAGAAGCAAGAAAATGGTTCGATACGTCGAAATTTCGAGGTCGGGAAATCCCCGACGATTCGGTAATTCAACCGGGGACGATGCTGGAAATATCATGTGAATCGGACACTGGTGCTCCATTTAACTCTCCTGGCCCAGTGTCTCATTTCTCTCTACCACCTCTTGATTCGATAGCACCAATTCCTCCGTCACATGATCTTGTCACTGCTCCTCCGTATGGTTCACTTCCTCCACCACCAAGTGTGCCTGCCGTAATGCCTAGCCCACCGAAGTATAACCCCAGCCCAAGCCCACCAGAATTCAGTTACAGCCCACCGGGATGTCGCGGGCCCAGCCCGCCCAAGCTCACCCCTGGCCCACCGCTCTATTCGCCCCCTGTTGTGCACTCGCCGGCACCGCCTAAAGGCCAAGTCTATGCCGTTTGGTGCGTGGCCAAGCCGACGGTGCCGGACTCAATAATCCAAGTGGCCATGGACTACGCGTGCGGGGCGGGCGCCAACTGCAAGCCCATCCAGCTAAATGGGCCTTGTTACCAGCCGCCCACGCTGCTGTCGCACGCCTCGTTCGCCTTCAACAGTTACTGGCAGCAGAAGAAGCAGGCCGGAGGGACTTGCGACTTCGGGGGGACGGCAATGCTGGTCACCGTGGATCCAAGTAAGCGCATTACCATCTCTTATTACAAACACAAATTTAAACACGCATCCGAGAAAATGTCAAGATATGGGTCTTCTTTCTGTCTCATGCTGCACATTGTTTTGTGGCAGGTTTCAATGAATGTCACTTTGATTTCAGCTGAAATCCTTTATGTTGAAGGCCTTGTGATCCAAGCTCGGTCCTCCTCCCCAATGTGCTTGTACTCATGAGTCTTGACACAGAAAGTTTTGTAATTAGCTACATATGGCTTTTGTTCGAAATTATGCAGAGACATGGTTTACTGCTAGAAAGATGTAATTAGGGAACGTGGTTTATGTGTAATTTGGTACATAATATGTCCGAAACTCTTTTAACATCAGCAAAAACTCCTGTGGTTTGAAAGTATACCCTATGGCGACGTCATTTTCAAATGTCGCCGGTATAATACCAAGTCATCCTTGTATGTTTCACGATGAATTGCGACCTAAATCCATCCTTATCCGCACATTATTTCTCTTGCTCCAAGGGTAACTCGACTAAGGTGAAGAAGTCATAACCGAGTGGTCTAAGAACCAATGAATTTGAGGAGTTCAAGATAAAAATGAGACAGTAATGTTTTCTTCTCAAAGCAATGCATCTTACTTCGTCGAAGTACGAGAGTTCGATTCAATCTCAATGCAACAATAATTTCATTTTAGTCATATTTTAGTAGTAAATGTCAGTAAACATCTCTCGGTCAACTTTCTATTCCTTCTCTGTTTTGGCTAGATCTTGGGTCACCCAATTTGCAATTAACATTACATGAATTTTCCAATTTTCGAAGTCACAAGCTTTTTTATATGATACGTATAAATTAGGGTTTATGACGTAAACAAGTGCCCTTAAACTCAAAAACTTTTCTTGTTAAGCATGCTTTCCCTAAATGCCTCAGCTGCTAAATTCGGAAAAGCCGCCGCAAAAGGGAAATAACAAAAATGCAGAGCCAATTCCTTCTACTGATAAAATGCGAACTCTAAGTTGAATAGTGTAAATCAAAACCAGGTAAACTGTCGAACAAAATTCTTAACCTGTACTGCAAGTTACAAGGAAATACTGTGGTGATTCAATGAAGATGCCACGCAAATCAGTGCAAGTATCCAGTAGCTTGCAAACATATACTTGGCGTGCTGATAGCAACAAGGGGAAAAAAATTCTCTTATGTCCAACGTAAACTGGATCTTCATCAAAATAACTGCGACGGTATTCAACCCATTACCACGACCTTTAATGACCATGCGCCACATTACCCAGCGACCCTGTATCCCTACATTGACAGAGCACAAAATCACACCTCAATTTTGGAAAAGATTACTGGGTGCATCTCGATTGCAGATAATACATGAGGTGCTTTGGAAATTGGAACCAAATTGTTGCTGTGATTTGGATGGACGGTCGGAGGAGAAATGCTTACCTTGCCTCTCTTCAGCAGTTCCTATGCGTCTTTGAAGAAATGATCCCGTACGGCCTGCACAAGGTAAAATGAATTACGAATTTCGCCGAGGAGTTATAGATAGGCACATGTCCCCCCCAAGAGGAGTTTGCAAGGGTTTCTTTTGCTGTAATTGCAATATCAGAGTGTGCTCCTAACATTTTTACCTCGTCATCTTCCATTAAGACGGACGAGGATGGATCACTTTCGGACAATTCTTGACCTTGCTGTAGACCAGAAAGCATATTTGCATACCAAAATAATCAAAATGAATAACCATTTTAACCTTAAAAAAAACAATTGAATTTATTAGAAAAAAAGAGAGTCGAACCGTGCGACGATACAAAACAATTGGCTTATTCTTTCTCTTCATCTCATCACAGTACCCTCTAGCAAGTACATTCACCAACCATTGATCCATTCACAGTTAACAAATGTCAGCCTGTTAAAAAAAAAAGCATTTTCCAAAGACGTTTTTAGTAGAGACAAACAAATACAGCACAACTTCAAAGTAAATAAAAAGCGGAGATCACAAAATGCATTGCCCATGAAATACATTTACTCTTTGAGGATATCTACAATGGAAACGGATCAGTTCGAAAGGCATTTGAACAAGCAAGAGTGGTTGTCACTAAGATTCACAAGCACGATGGCATTTGATCATGGATGAAGCAGTGCACAAACAACTAGGAGTTGAAATAATCATCCACAAACAATAACGAATTCAATCCTAAACATGCTCTATTTCATCGTGTCAATTAGGGATTTATTGAGTGATAAAGTTTATCATTCTTGATTCATATGCTCCAATTTCCATGAGACACTATTTATCTCAATTTGATTAATTGAAAATATCGGGCGTGAGCTTTCCGTTGATGCAAAAATTGAGTAAATATCACATAAATATAATTTTCAAAATTTTTCCCTTTTTGATGAATTGAGAACAACGGGTCACTGGCTTTATGAAAAATATGAAAGCACATTGATGGCATATGTCGAGAATCGATATGCGGTGAGCTCTTTCGGTACACTAGGACCCATCACATCTAAGCACCTGGAAAAAAGAAAATCGATGAGAGGTGATCTCTTGTATCGATCATGATCAACATAATAACTAGATGCCTTAGTTATATACCCGAGTACGGTAGGGAACATGTTTCCGCTGATAATGTCATGAAATAGTGACCAGTATTTGTGTTTTGGGGAGTTAATTTCTTCCGACACCCACATAAATTCCACATTATCATCGGTGAGATCATAGCTTTCCATAGCTCGACGGCATAGCGTCCGGCTATTTGGATTTTCTCCGAATCTCCAGCCAATTCGTTGTTCGTAGGAGCAAACCAATCTCGGAACATCTCTTGACTTTGCATCCAGCAGAAGTCAATTTGTTGATAGAAATGGGCTTCATGAATCTTGTGCTCTAAAGAAAAATGAAAGTGTGGACCTCGAAACTGATGAAAAACTAGCCAAAGCATGATAAATGGCCAATGATAGATGCGAACATCGCCAATTGCAATAAAAAAAATACATTTAATTAGGGAGAAGGAAGCTAGAAGTGTCAAAAGTTATGTACGGCGCTCACTTTAGTGTCAAAAGTTTTCACCGGATCACTTAAGTGCCAAATCGGAGAAAAAATGACCAACGGCGAGAAATTTTGGCCAAAAGTCCTATGTGACTTTTTTAATTAGATAATAATCTCTATGTGGATTTTTTATTAGAAAAAGAAAATTCACGTGGATTTTTTTATAAGAAAAATCCACGTCTAAAAGCCAAGTCTATGCTGTTGGTGCATGGCCAAGCCGACGGTGCTGGACTTGATAATCCAAGTGGCTATAGGCTACACGTGCGGGGCGGACGCCAGCTGCAAGCCCATGCAGCCCACCGGGCCTTGTTACCAGCCGGCCACGCTGCTGTCGCACGACTCGTTTGCCTTCAACAGTTGCCGGTAGAAGGAGGAGGAGGCCGAAGGGACTTACGATTTTGGGGGATGGCGATGTTGGTCACCGTGGATCCAAGTAAGTGCATTACAATCTCTTATTAAAAGGACAAACCTTATCATGCATTTGAGAAGATGTCAACATATGGGTCTTCTTTCTGTCTCATGCTACACATTGTTTTGTGGCAGGTTTCAATGAATGTCACTTCAATTTCAGCTGAAATCCTTTTTGTTGAAGGTCTTGTGATCCAAGATCAGTCCTCCTCCCCATTGTGCATGTGCTCATGAGTTTCGACACAGAAAGTTTTGCAATTAGCTACATATGACTTTTGTTGGAAATTATGCAAAGATGTGGGGTGCATTCGTGTGACGCTCCAAAACGTCACGTGCGACACGTGTCCTTTCTAATTTTATCTCATATTTGTAATTACTCATGCGGAAGCACAACAAATATTTCACAACATCCCTAACAAGAAAATCGCACAAGTTTCATAATATAGATATCTTCAACTTTATACATGCACCAGCAATTATTATCACAATATAATACATAGTCTTGGGAAGAAGGTTGGGTCTACCAACACCGCTACTCTCACAATAACCCAAAAGCGAGCCACCATCAACTCAGGGGTTGATAGCCTCTAATAATATCTCGCCCCCTCCATCGTCATGTCTGGGAAGCCATCCTACAAACTGAAAAATAAGGGGCGAGCCGAAGTTCATTAAATGAAATTTCTTAGTCTAAAGTAGGAGTTTACCTTTGCACCCGTCCTAGCATAATAATCACAAACATTCGGAGCAACATAATCGGGGGAAGAACAGCAGAAGTGCCAAAAGTTATGTACGGAGCTCACTTTGGTGCCAAAAGTTTCAAACGGATCACTTAAGTGCCAAAAGTTTACGCCGGCGATCACTTAAGTGCCAAATCGGAGAAAAAACGATCACTTAAGTGCCAACGGCGAGAAATTCCGACCAAATTTAATACATGGCTTTTATATTTAAATTTTAATGACACGTGGCATTTCCACGTGTATAATTCAATTTTTTAAATATTTTTTTTCTTTCTTTTCTTTTTTCTTTTCTCTCTTCTTCTTCTTCTTCTTCTTCTACCATGGCCGGTGGCCGGAGGCCAGCCACCGGCCAGGGCCGGCCTCGCCGGGCGTCGCCTTCCACCGGGCGAGGCCCGGCGAGGCAGTCATGGCCTCGGCGAGGGCCGGCCTCGCCGGATCCGGCGGGGCGAGCCCTCGCCAAGGCCACGGCAGCCTCGCCGAGGCGTCGCCTTCCTCCGGGCAAGGCCCGGCGAGGCCGCCGTGGCCTCGGTGAGGGCCGGCCTCGCCGGATCTCGGCGAGGCGAGCCCTCGCCAAAGTCACGGCGGGAGAGGCCCGGCGAGGCCGCCGTGGCCTCGGCGAGGGCCGGCCTCGCTGATCTGGCGAGGTGAGCCTCGCCAAGGCCACGGCGGCCTCGCCGAGGCGTCGCCTTCCTCCGGGCGAGGCCGGCCCTCGCCCGGAGGAAGGCGACGCCCGCCTCCGGCCACCGGCCATAGTAGAAGAAAGAAAAGAAAAAAAAGAAAAGAAAAGGAAAAAGAAAGAAAAGGAAAAAAAAAGAAAAGAAATGCCACATCAGCCTCCGGCGAGCCACATCAGCTTGAGAAATTAATAAAAAAATGCCACGTCGGATTTCCGGCGATGTGGCACTTAAGTGATCGTTTTTCACAACTTTTGGCACTTAAGTGATCCGTTTGAAACTTTTGGCACCAAAATGAGCTCCGTACGCAACTTTTGGCACTTCTGCTGTTCTTCCCCCAACATAATCAATGCATGAGCACACACCTTACCTTCTTTGCAAGTGCCTCACACGAATGCATGGTATTATCTATTCAATGCACACGTACAGCATATAATTTCTTGATGCATCAGTATCATTTGGTGCCTTATTAACATGCATATATGTATATTCATGAACATGCATCATATTCATTATTTCATCATATCCCGATTCGCGGATCTTCCCGATTTACGGGGCATCTCAATTCTGAGGCATCCCGTACATCCGACAGGACATC